ACGCGCTGGCCGGAGGCTTGTCCCATCAAAGACATCACTGCCGAGACTGTCGCCTCTGCGCTTCTGTCCACCTGGATCTCCCGCTTTGGGGTTCCCGCCGAAATCGTGACCGATCGCGGACGCCAATTCGAATCGGCCCTTTTCCGAAGCTTGACAACTCTTCTTGGCATCGCTCACTTGAAGACCACAGCCTACCACTCTCAGGCAAATGGTTTGGTTGAGCGGTTCCATCGCCATCTCAAGGCCTCCCTCATGGCCCACTCCACACCAGATAAATGGGCCACGTCTCTACCCATCGTCCTCCTAGGGTTGCGCACAGCCATAAAGGAAGACCTCGGATGTGCCGCATCACATCTAGTTTATCGAACATCGCTGCGCCTCCCAGCTGAATTGGTCAGCCCTACCACTCCGACCCACGGCGGCCCTACGATGCCTGCAGGATTGCCTTACGTGGAAGACTTAGCCCGTCTGTTCGGTGACGTGCGCGCTACACCGACGCGGACACGCCAGAGCAAGCCTCCTTTCTTCCATCGCGACCTGCACAACAGTGGCTACGTGTTTTTGCGCGTCGACAGCGTCCGCCGTTCGCTCCAGCAACCTTACACTGGTCCCCACCTCGTCGTGGAACGTGGCGAAAAAACATTCACGCTGCGAGTTAATGGCCGCGACACGGTCGTGTCCGTTGACCGCCTCAAGCCAGCATTTGTTGAGAGCGATACGATCGCTCAGCCGACCGATCTTCCCAGCGTGCAAGCCACCTCGAGCTCAACAGTAGCACACGCGACCCGCATCAAACACTCCAGGACAGTTCACAGGGACGACTCCGTCTCCAAAGGGGGGCTATGTGGCGATAGCCACTGAGAAAAGAAGAAGAAGATCGCGTGCAGATAAAAACGAAGAGAGAAGTTCGATTTTGGAATGCGTCAGACGTAGTCGCTTTTCGTCTGTCTTTCTCTACAACTGCTTCAAATTCAGTTTCTTCCCAAGAGCAATCAAAGAGCGGAATACTTTACCCATGGCCTCCGAGATCCCGAAGCGCGCGAACGCGCCTTCGCGCGCGCGCTTCGGGATCTCGGAGGCCATGCTTTACCCGAGAGCGGCTGTCTCGTGCACATCTCCCAGTGAATTTTTAAAATGCATAGATAATATTGTTTGATAGCTACTACAGATCGCGATTTGGCAGTGACATTTTCTTTTTGTGTCTATGTTACTTTTTATTTTTTATTCTGTGATATGTTTCCTCTTTTGATGCATGCTTTGATTATTGGTGGCATGATGTTATCTTTTTTTTTTGTTTGTTTGGCAACTGTCTAGTTGCATATTTATTTAATTGTCCCCCCCCCCCCCCCCCAGAATTTGTCCCCACGCACTGACAGCATTATTAAATAAGGGAATGTGCACAATAGATATATAAAGAAATAAACTCCGAGACAGAAGAACATTCATTGAAACAATATTATATTCCTTTTTTTTTCTTTTTTTAAATCTTTTTTTTTCCTTTTTTTTTTTTTATGGGGAAGGGGGGGGGGGGGGTGGAGGGTTGTGCTGGTTGTGCAGCCAACAAACGCATCGGAAACATTTACAACGTGCATGGCCCGAATGTCGCAAGGTAGTCATTGCTATCAGTACCAGATGGCGCGACGTGTCTGGCACTTCCCTTCCAGTTGTCGAACGTGATGCCGGTCTAGTCAAGGCAGTGGAAGTTGATTACAAGGTAGACATAACCAAGAAGGAGTTGTCTGCACTTTCCCAAGCGGAGTGTAATTCAGTTTCCCTAATTATAAGAACTGGTACCGCATATTCTGAGGACGGGCAAAAATATCGATTTGAATATGCTATTTTAGTAGGGCACGTTATTGGGCTAGTTGGTTCATCTTAGTTAAACATATAAAATAGCGCAAAAAAGACAAGGAAGAGAAGACCTTGTATACTTCTTGTCCTTGTATTTTTTTCGCTGTTTTATATGTTTGAATATGCTAGCTAAGGTGAATATCTAAAAAGGTACTCGGTGGTTTCTGTATGTAATTAGCTGTTAAATTTCATGTTACAGTTCTTCCATGACGTCCACCGCGGTCGATAACGTTATTCCGAAGGAATCGGATCTCTCGTTTAATTGTCTTTCTTGTAAATATTACTTTAAGTTGTACGTTTCATCCTTGACTAGATAAGTTTTAAGACACTCACCCCGGAAGAATTTTTTTTTTTCAACTGTTATTTTTTTTTTAGGTATTGCACGCAACGACCCATCTTTCTAACCCTATCCCGTATGCACTGGTGCTTCCGGGAATTGGTTGGAAATGGTTTACCACTCAGTTTGTCTTTCACCATCTGGAATACGCAGAAGTCGGATGGTTATGTGTTGTCCCTTCCTTTTATGTGACTTCCTTTTCCTTTTCTATCTCAGGTTAAGCTATGTCAACTTTTCACCAGCTCGCTCGCACTTTCACCCTATTTTCACATGGTGAGAGGTCTGGACTGTGGGGCGGATTCGTGAACGACTTCACTGGACCGCCTTGGAGGAAGCTGAGTGTCATGTTGGCAGGGGGGGGGGGGGGGCGATATATAGCTTGCACGTGACGTCAGTCCGCCCCTCTTTCCGGTGGCCAGAAGCGCATGTTTAACGTAGAGGAAGCTATTCTCTCACCCCGCCCTTTCCCCCATTACATCTGACCAAGTGACATCAGTGCAAGCTATCTATACATTTCCGTGGCACACAAGAATTTTCCAAGTCATGCAGTTCTTGGTCACCTCTCATGCCTTTTCTCGAAGGCTGCTGTCAGGCAAACTGTGATTTGCTCGTGTGCAGTCATTGTGCTCTGGTCTTCCAGAGCAACCATGGCCATGTACCCACTGGCTAAAAAAGATTTCACCATCCATACCCACCGTACCCACTAGCTAAAAGAGATTTCATGTCGGCTACGCTCTTCGTGTCGCCACCATGAGATCGGTGCAGCATCTCTTGGTCAGCACCTGCTAAGGTAATCAAGCCCTGCGAACGACCTCCCCTTCTCTCGTGGAACGTCATCAGAGTCGGACGGCGCACGCTCAGTAATTGGACCCGAGCCCGTTGCTGAGCGGCCTTCGACGCGTTGATTGGACACAAGGCCCCGCCGAACGTTGACGTAGCAATCGCGTTCAATCTGTGTCTGCGCTCCATCTCACTCTAATGACGTCAAAGTTCTAGTGCACAGACGGAGTATTCTATACTTCGTTTCAGCTTCGGTCGGAGCGCGGCCGATGTTATGAGCCGAAGGGCCAATGAAAGAGCGAAAGAGGCACAACGTCATGGCGTGCTCTCTGCAGTTGATAGGACCAGCCGGTATTCGCCGTCTCTCTGTGCGCGCTCCTCCGCCGGCTAGTCCTATCAAGTACAGAGGGCACGCCATGACGCTGCGCTTTTTGCGCTGTTTGATTGGCCCTTTGGCTCATAACATCGGCCGCGCTCGGACCGAAGCTGAAACGAAGTATAGTCGTCATTACCATGTCCGTGGCAACTTGTAAGCCTCCGTCGAATGTTGTTGGACCCAGCGAGATTGCGCAAAACTGTGCAGTGCTACACCCTTCTCCATTTTATTATAAAGTGCGGTATTCGCACCAATTCGCGCCAAAAAGTTCACTTAACTTTTTTTCAATACAGAAACTAGTAGTTCAGACGTCGCTATACGATGCCGGATTGTTGCGATAAGCTTGCCCAAATTTGCAGAACTTTCAGTTGTCGCTTATAAATTAATAAAGTGCGATTTGATTTGATCTTTCTATCGAACGTGACTCAGCACTCGGAAGTTTCGTGATATCTCTCATTGTGTTCTCTTTGGGCGGGTTAATTAGCTTCGTTGAGTGCGCTTCTCACTGCGCACTGGTGCATTGCAGAGAAGCTACATCCGCAGAGTAGACATCGCGATTTTGCGTAGGTCGCTTCGCCGCAGCCCAACCTAGTGTTACTGGGGACAACACGCCTCCAGGGGGGAATTGTGCGCGTCAAATAATGCAAAACATGCAACGAAAAAAAAAGGGGGGGAGGATTTGGTGGAATGTTGATGTAACAACAGGTACTTTGGAGTATAATTTGCAGAATAAAACCATAGTCAGCATATATGATAGATTGTGACATCAGGCACGTAGCCAGGATTTTGTTTCGGGAAGTTGGGAGGGCGCCCATGACAAAAGGCTGTATGAGGGGGAGGGGGAGAGGAGGCCCCAGCAAAATGGAAGATTTCAAGGGGGGGGGGGCGGCCCCCTTGCCCCCCCCCCCTTGCCGACGTGCCTGTGTGGCATCCTGAGTTGCATGCATCTCTTTCTGTGATCGTTTATTTATTGTTATAACTCAATCTATGGGCTCTAAGGATCCTAAAAGCCAAACATTGCATTCACACGTGGTCGATCTCTCTATTTAAATATTTATCACAGATCGATTACCTTGGAACTGTCACGGACACCAAGGGGCCGTTAGACAAAGGAAAGCTGCCACCCCCCAAATTAGGCGTTAGTTGTTTAGACAGCCGGAGTTTCTGCCAGAGTACGGTGACACCTGTTACCCACAGTAGACGGGAAATTCACTCAGTGCAAAACCACTGTTAGCCTGGGGTTCTTTGACGTGCATCACGCATCAGCGATATACAACCGCACGCCGACACGATGTTCATCCATATCGAAACAGGCTAGGGGATTCCTGGGTTCTGCAGTGCACGCACTGCTCAGGGCCACATGCTCGCGCCCGTAGCATCGGCTGCGTCTGGGCTTAAGCTGAAACGAAGTATAGCCTACTCGGTCACCGATCCCCCTTCCTGCCCTACAGCACTGTTCGGGGCACTTAATTTTACATTTCGTAAAGTCGATGAAGTGATTGCACTTATGCCCAGGAAAGAGGCAACAATACCATCCACTTTAGCACGTCCGTATCATCGCTCTAATTCGGCGGAATAGTAACTTCCTTCACGAAAGACAAAAATGCCAGAATAAGCGAAGGGTTTGGAACTAAAGAACCACACCAGACACAGAAGTAGGTAATTCAAGATGCTTTTCTTTTTCTTTTATTATTCTGCCCAGGTGGTGTATAGAACTACCCACCGGGCCTTTCGTCAATATCTTTTTTGTTTCTCATTTTCTTTCATCATCGACAAAACACTCTTTCAACCGAGAAAAAGCGAGCGACGTAATATAAATATTTTATATAAATAGAATAGCAAAAGGTAGTAGTCATAATGGTGGTGGCGATGCGGGCGCTTGCGAAAGAGCCGAAATCGCAAGCAGCCGTCGAAGAATATCACAGACAACAACAAACTTAAAAAAAAAAAAAAAACAGCTCGTGATGGTAACAGCTTAAAAGTGATGTTTTGACGATAGGAGGCAAGGAGAAGAACAATATGTATACTATATACAATATGCACAACAACGAACAGCTTCCGCAAGAAAAACAGTAAACGTAGCACTACTACTAACATTGCAAACGATGCAGCCAACAAAACAAAGCTGCATCCATCTTTGAGTAGGGTCAGAGACCCGCGAAAGTCTGTCGTACTAAAGAAAAAAAAAAACATAAGGCACTGGTGTGTTGTATACATCTTCAGAGGAACTGTCCGGCGGAGATCAAGTTTAAGGAAGCTGTTGAAGGTCCTGGTCAAGGCGGACTCATCACCAAGGCCTCCAGACGCCCTCATCTTCGACTTTGACGGGGACCTGGTTGTGGTGGTGATGATGTTGAAGGGGCATGACTCCGTACTGGACAGGGGATGACACGGGGCTCGGCGACGACATGGAGCGATCGCTCGACGCCGGACTCATGATCCCCGGCGATGACGACGTCGTGAGTCCCGGAGTCGCTGGCGGGGACACCGGCGCCGCGTACACGGACAGTTGGGACTGCTGGGGCAGCAGGAAGGCGATCTCTCCCGTCGGCAGCCGCGTGGGCAGGAGCTGGAGGCTGCCGTTGCCTCCCCGGCTGTTGCCGAAGAAGTGAGACTCTTCGCTGGGGCTCGGCGGAGGGGTGGATAGGTCGGTGACTCGGGAGGCCAGGTGTCCCATGAGCCGCTGTCGGACGGCGGGTTCGAGTCCATCCATGCGACCCAGGTAGCGCCCCACTTCGGCGGCGCACTCTCGGAAGCCGGCGCGGAATTTGTCGGCCACGCTGCAGTCGGTCACGATGGCACGGGCGGACTGCTGCCGCTGGAGTTGTTGCAGGTGCTTGACGGTCATCTCCAGGATGTCGGCTTTTTCGAGTTTGGAGTGCCGCGCGTTCTGTGGAGAAGAAACAAAAAAGAGAAGAAAGGCGGTGAGATTTTGGTGGCACGAAAGGTTAGCGGACAACGTGACTACACTTTCGTAACACGCGATCCTTGTCAAACAAAGAGAAATTGTTAAAAAAAAAAATATATATATATATATAAGCAGCGCAACGGACGTTCGAGCAGGTGAGCTTTTTTTCTTCGCGTGACCCGACCGACGGAATGGGAGAACGGTCGCGCATACAGCGAGCCTCTATCGCGACACAAACGTAGAAAAGAGAAACGCACTTGCGTCCCCTCCCCAGCGACGGCGTGCATTCACTGACAAGCACGCCATCCGAATTCCTTTCCTCTCCTTCGGGGTTCTACGGAGCTTAGTGGGAAAAAAGAGACGGGCCCGACAATGCCTAACAAAACCGACAAAAGCGGAGCGCGTCGAGAGGGAGGGAGGCGCATCGCTCGCCATCTGGCGCGCCGAGAGACCGTGAGAAACGGGGGTAGTAAGCGAAGTCGCCTCCAGGCGCCTCTCAGCTCGGCCCCAGAAGCGAACAACTCGCTTACGAGCTGCTCCTCACAGCGCGGTCGACGACGACCGTGGAGCCACTCTTCCTGAATGGACTTCGGGTCCCTCCTCCCCCTCGAAACGGACCGCCAGAAGCAACGGAAGAGGGGGGAGGACTGCCCCTCCCGAACTGCCGTAGAGATCCCCAAATTGTTCTCGGAAGGGTCAAGTTCGGTAGCTCGATGACACCGAATGGCACCCCCTACAGCCGGGAGTTGGATCGGGTTGTGAGGTACTTATCTTAAAGGGTTATTGAGTTTCCTGGTTCGGCTTGTTGACCTCATAGTGTCAACGTAGGTGTACAAACTTGTTTCAAATGTTAAAAATAAAAAAGGCGTCAGGTTTCACTTTTTAAAAAAGATTGCTCGAACGTCTGCACAACATCGTTTCGTTCAGCGCGTGATATAGGAAATGAACCGTGCTAATCGGAGAAGTGTGAGGTCGAAACGAGCGGGTATTAAGTGACACTTACATCTTTTTTAAGGGCATCCAAGATGAGATTCTTCAGCTCGGTGAGACTGTGGTTGATGCGAGCTCTCCGCCGTTTCTCCATGATGGGCTTCGTGCTCTGCAAAGATTAAAAAAAGGGAAGGGTCGGTCAGACATCGCTGCATTCCGGACACTCAAAAAAGACTCGGATAGTTTCAAGGCTAGACGGCAAAGTATAAATTTGTTGACCTCTCGAAAGAGGGAGGGAAACGGCCAAAATCGGGAAACGGAACGTACCCGTCGCAGTTCACTGGCCTTGCTGGGCGCCCTGTCTGCAGGCATGGTGGCAGAAGTCTCCGTTTCGGGAACAACACGAGAGCGAAGGAACTCGGAAGCAGCGGAAGCGGAGTCGTAATCCAGGAAGTCGGAAGTAGCCAGGACCACTCGCCGACGAACGAAAGTGGAGAAGCAGCGGGCGCAAACTCCGAGGTGCGGTGCGAAGAGCGGACGAGCGCCAGTGCGTCTCAGTCTGCGTCGGTATGCGCCACTGCGTTAGCACGTCGGTTCCCCGGCGCTTATAAAACCTCAGGGGCGAGGAGGGAGGGGAAGGGCGCGCGTGCACAGGCACGGCGGCGTCGGCGCAGACAGCAGCGGCGTCCTGCGAGAGGGAATGCGGCGAGGGGGAGAAGCCAGCCGGCGGAGCACGTGCCCGCAGCGAGTGTGGGAAAATGCCACCGGAGGAGACCTTTATCGAGCGGCCGAGGTCAAACAGGCGTGCGCCGTCCGTGTGAGACACGCTCGAGACCGCCGTTCCCACGCTCGGGCAGCCAATGGCGGGGCGCGGGCCCTTTCCCGGCTCGCGCCGGGGGGGACGCAGGCGGCACATCTGCCCGCCGCCGCCGCTGCACGTGCCCGGCTTGGCCACTGCAAACAGGGCCCCCTCGCCCTCCCGGTGCCCCTCGGGCTTGTGTCAGCGGCGCTCCGGATGCGGGGAGGGGAGCGCCAACGCGTGGGGGACACGAGTCGTCCGCTCGGCGAGGCCCGCCGCCGCCCGAGGGTGCGCCGCAAAGCGGCCGCGCGTGCCCGCTCTCCTCCTCGGCGCGTTCCTGCGCTGCCTGCCGCCGGTGCGCCCGTGGCCTGGCGGGGCTGCTGACGCCGATTCCGGGCGAGGTGGGGAGGGGCACAGGCCTGCACGGGAATCTTGGTGCACTGCACGTGCTCGTCCCGCGCGCGAAACTAGGGCTCAAAACGGGGGCTTGAAGCGCTGTCAGGAATGAGGAAGACCAGAACCGGCATAAACGTTTGTCGATGTGCGAGTCCAGATGCGTACGCCAGCCTAACCGCTAGAAACAGGGTTAATCGGAATCGTGCCCTTCCAACAGGCGCATTGAACCCCGAGGTGGTCGAGAGTAATACACATAGCCTAAGACTTCGACTGAGCTGACCATACTCCCTGGGCCCCAAAGCGGGACATTGGCACGGGGAGTCTCAACTTCAGCAGTGCCTGCGTCCAGACTTCCCGGTGAAGCTCTTGGTGCACGAGTGCATTGAACCCCGAGGTGGTTGAGAGTAATACATATAGCCTTCGACTGAGCTGACCATACTCCCTGGGCCCCAAAGCGGGACATTGGCACGGGGAGTCTCAACTTCAGCAGTGCCTGCGTCCAGACTTCCCGGTGAAGCTCTTGGTGCACGAGTGCATTGAACCCCGAGGTGGTTGAGAGTAATACATATAGCCTTCGACTGAGCTGACCATACTCCCTGGGCCCCAAAGCGGGACATTGGCACGGGGAGTCTCAACTTCAGCAGTGCCTGCGTCCAGACTTCCCGGTGAAGCTCTTGGTGCACGAGTGCATTGAACCCCGAGGTGGTTGAGAGTAATACATATAGCCTTCGACTGAGCTGACCATACTCCCTGGGCCCCAAAGCGGGACTTTGGCACGGGGAGTCTCAACTTCAGCAGTGCCTGCGTCCAGACTTCCCGGTGAAGCTCTTGGTGCACGAGTGCATTGAACCCCGAGGTGGTTGAGAGTAATACATATAGCCTTCGACTGAGCTGACCATACTCCCTGGGCCCCAAAGCGGGACATTGGCACGGGGAGTCTCAACTTCAGCAGTGCCTGCGTCCAGACTTCCCGGTGAAGCTCTTGGTGCACGAGTGCATTGAACCCCGAGGTGGTTGAGAGTAATACATATAGCCTTCGACTGAGCTGACCATACTCCCTGGGCCCCAAAGCGGGACATTGGCACGGGGAGTCTCAACTTCAGCAGTGCCTGCGTCCAGACTTCCCGGTGAAGCTCTTGGTGCACGAGAGCATTGAACCCCGAGGTGGTTGAGAGTAATACATATAGCCTTCGACTGAGGTGACCATACTCCCTGGGCCCCAAAGCGGGACATAGGCACGGGGAGTCTCACCTTCAGCAGTGCATGCGTCCATACTTCTCGGTTAAGCTCTTGGTGCACGAGTCTGGACTCTGGAAGGCGAGCTGGGTTGCAGCCGGTGTGTCAGGAAGTTACAGGGACTACTAAAAGTGAGCCACCATTGAAGCATTGAGGGAGGATCAACGATTGGTCCTTCAAATTCGTCGCATGGCAGTACTTAGTACGCAGTACCCCTGAGACCGCAAAAATAATCACACGATTTGTTATATAGTTTTAAAACTGAAGTTCTTCATACTTGTATGGGACTAGCTAAATACTTCATTCAGTATCGTCAATGGAGAATAGGACTTTGGCTAGAAACTTGAGTATTCAATTCAAGGGTCAATGGCCTACACTATAAATAAATAGTTTCAGTCCACTGTTCCACAGAACACGAAGAATGTCAATCACAGTGAGCAATATAATTCCAGCAAATGATAAAACTCAGGATACAACTGGAAAGAGCAAAATGTATGCGATGTGCGCTGGAAACAACGACCGTAACGTTTTCCTTGCTCACACCGTCTAGTCTTCGGTCCCGCTCACATTGCATTCTTACGTCGCCTTCTTCAGACGTAATCGTATTCTGAGTTTCGTCATCCGCTGCGACCCTTCTATTGTTCGCCGACATTGACGTTCTCCGAATTCCGTAGGAAAAAGAGCTTACAAGCTGTTCTTAGAGTATACTATATTATATAGCACTGGGCCGACAGCATGTCACCGGTACCACGACACTTTGGAGCAAGATTAGGACTCTCGATCTACATACGCCTTCTAGACCAGTCTGCCCTTAGCATGCACCGCCTCAATGGATGCAGTATACGGGCGCAGTTTAGTTGAAACCTCTGCCGGAAGCATACACCACCCTGCAGTTTTCTGCGCTGCCAAACAGTTTTCTCGCATTGCTGTATACACGCTTCTGCAGTTGAAATTTGAATCGAGCCAGACGTGTACGTAACACGTTACTGCTTCTAAGTAGTCACTTTTCGGTAAGAGGTAACGTATTTAGTTACTTTTTTTCGAAAAGGAACGAGTAACGTACTTGGTTCCTTTTAAGGCCAAATAACGACTAACGGTATCTCGTTACTTTTGAAGAGTAAAACGAGTACCACACCGTTTAAGCAGCCTCGTTTTAATTCCAACCTAAGCATATGTCTATTATGACAAAGGCAGATGGGCAACTAGTTTATCGCTGCACACGTCAGTCGAACTCTACAGCTGGGAATGCAGAACACAATAAGGTACACCCGCCGGCAATATGGAGGTGAACACCTTACCTGGTTTCTTGCCTGTTTTACGGCTCCCGAAAGCTATATTAACTCTCAACGTCTCAAATGGTACGTGGCTTGGGGTCTAAACTTTGCGTTCTATCCCTCTTCTGGAACAGAGCTTGTTCCAAAACTTGCGGGAGCGTCAAAAACAAGAAACGGCTGTTCACTTTCATATCGCTCACGGGTGTACGTTGGTTGAACCTTTCTAAAATCGTGTACAGACCAAATGTAAACCCGCAGGTTGCCAGCACGGGAAGGCACATAGCCTATTGTCAACTTGAAACTTTAGAAGCAAAGAAAACAAAGGAGAGAATGGAACCTTACCAGCTCTTCCTGAAAAACAACACTGCCGTTCTTTTGAGCGCATCAGTAGAACGCCTATTCAGCGTCGCCGGAGATGTATTCTCAAGAAAGTGGGGAAACATAACCGATGGAAACTTTGAGAGGCAACTACTGCTTAAAGGGGCGATGCAACCATTTTTTTATTTCGGGCAAAAACCGCTTAGAACGGATCCCTGACGTTAATGACCTGTGAAACACCCGTTCGTTTTTCACCACACGCAATCGAAGTCACAGAAAAAAATAAAGAAAAACGAGCAGAGTTCACCCCCTCAACTCGCAGCCATGGCTGCGAGTTGAGGGGGTGAACTGCGAGTTGAGGCAGATCACGTGGCTGCTTGTTCTGCAGAACAAGCGGCCACGTGATCTGGAGCCGATTATATGCCGCCAATGTTGATCATAGCCATGCGCTGGGGTTGGCAGAGCACAGGGCACGCGCTGAGTTCCAGACATTGTTATGGTTCGGCTGTTGTCGTCATTGCAGCGATTGGATACAGGACACTACCCGAATGCTTCTCGAGCTATCGATTATCACGAGCCCAAATCGAGTGTCCACGCCATGCTCGGGTCCAATCTATGAGCCGCATTCAATTATCGTCACTGGGCGGTACTGCTATCGCCCAGTTACGTCATCAGGTTTTGCGAAGGAGAAATTGAACGAAAACACTCGGTTTTGTCCTCGAAAATTACAGCGCAACAAAGGAGTTTGTTGGTCAGTGGCGTTACGTGCAAGTATCCTTGAGTCCCTTTAGTGCCAGTAAGCTCGTGAAAAGTTAAAAACATTCCAATTAAATATCGCTGCACCGCCCCTTTAAAAAGCCCTGCAACAACTTTTTTTACTGTTTCTTTTTTTATTTTTTTTTTAATTTGCACTGAACCTGAGCGCACGGAACGTAGAAGCTTAGTTAACTTTTACTTTTCTCGAAATTGATAGTGATAGGCATATTAAAATCGCAAAAACAAGCAAAAACTAACCTCCTTTATGACGTCCTTGGTCCTCTGTTCCCTCTTCCCCCCTCTCCCTTTTCTCGCGCCGGAGGATTCCCCTTGACGCGGTGACTGCGGAATGTGGGGAGGGAGGGGAAGACGGGCAAAGGAGGAGAAGCCGAGAAGAGAGAGCTGCCCGGGAACGGGGCAGCTCTCTCCCCTCGGCTGACGTCAGGACCAAAAACGTCACGATTTCGTCAGATGAAGCGCGCGTTCAACACCACGGGCGCCCCCGTAAGAGGAGAAGGAGGCTTCCACGTCATCCGGTTAAAATACGATGCATTAATAGGGAGTTCTAGTAGACCGTGTTTGTTCCCTCCGCTAGTCCTCCGCTACCAAGAATCCGCCACTGCGCCTGCGCGCCGATGGCCTCTCCATGCCCGCTTGTTTGCCCGAACCACAAGAAACGTGGAAACAGCAAAAAAAAAAAAAAGTAGACACTTTTATAGGATTGCAGGGCCCCTTTAAGTGCAGCGTCTACTGAACGGAAAATAGTAAACCAGGAAACAAAAGCAGTTGTGTATTTGGCAGTCAAAGTAACGAGAAAAGTAACTCGTTACTTTTGAGGTAACGGAACGCGTTCCTATTTAGAATCGCAACGAGCATCGGTACTTAGTTAC